AAAATCACTTTCTGATGTCTCCAACGTAGGAAAGAAAAACTTGAGTATAGAAGTAAAAAAAAAAAAAAAAAAAGGTCAAATATCTTCCTTCTTACCTAGGAGATAAAATCAGAGAAGGACCAAAAGAGTTCGCAGTGTAAAAGAAAACTTTTGTACCAAGCACTTGTTAAAAATGCAAGTCAATTTTTATTTGAGCTACTGCAGTAGGGAAAATAGATGTCAGCATATAACTAGTTCAACTCTAAATACAACAGGGACAAATGAAGATTTATAACCAATGAGCAGAGTGAGGGGGTTATTGGATAAAAAATTGCTAAGAGGAGGGTAGGATGATTCTTGCTAAAATGGCCTCACAGGATGCTTGTTAAAGGCAGATCCAGGTCTTAAATGTCAAGGGTGAGGGATAAGGAACTTGATCATATATCAGGGGGAGTGGGAGTCTTGCTAAAATGACTTAGTGAGATTCCTTGCTAACACTGGGCTCATCAGGCCAAGGTCAAGATCTTGTTGGAAAGAATACTCAGTGGAGCCTGGTCAAGGAGGGAGTCTTTGTCAATAGATTGGTCAGAAGCTGAAAGTAAGATAAATTAACATACCATGTGACTTTTAAAACAAATCAGGTTTTGATAGACTGACCTGAACCTCTGAGCTTCATGTAACAAGTTAATCCCTTTGGCTGAGGGTAAAATAAAGACACTCGCTTTATCAAACTTCTATTTTGAACCCAGTGAGAAGGTGTATTTTAAAATCCTCTAAATTCTTGGTTGGAATATATCATTAAATTAATGATATACAGAGCAACTCAATTCCTTTCTCAGGATCTCTTTTGATAGATGTGAGCGTTTAGTTTTTTTTGTTCTAGTGTTGAGATCAAAGGATTTAGAATAAAGCTCAAGAGTAGATATCCTTAATAGGACCGAGACAATCAAACCAATGGTAATTACTACATCTTACTAAAAGCATTCTTTAAGTGAGAAGATAACAACAAATCTGGTCTTTTAGACTCTGTTACAATTGTTAAACTTTATACTGTGTTTACTTGACATGTGAGCAACAATAGCATCAAGGATCCCTTTTCATCAGAGCTATCCAGGGAAATTCTTTAAATCCTCTCAGATGTGGCTTATCCCACCATCTGTCACCAGTTTAGAAAATTTAGCGTTGCATTCCAACATCCTTTTGTGCATAATCTTTTAAGGTCAACCAGGATGCTCAGAAAATTAAGAACAAACAACACTAATAAACACTAACTGAGCATCCATCACTGCCTAGCACCATTCTAAGGTCCTAAAGTGTGTTTGCTCTTTCAGTACTTACAGCCTATAGAGAGGCAGACAAACATTTGACAAGTGGTGAACATTTTGACAAGTGCTAAAACAGGACATGGTTCAGGGAGGTGTCGGAACACACAAGAGTAGTGTCTGTCTCACATCTTGCTTTGGGGTGAGGAGTGGAAATACGGGGCTGAGGAGAGGTAAGAGTGTGTGCTTGTATGTGCGGGGGGCAGTGGAAGGAGGTTGGAGAGAAGGTGTGGCCTCTCTGGCAGAGGGAGGGATGGAGGCAGGTGCAGGAGATGATTTATAATTGGAGACCCAAAGGATAGAGTAGGAATTATCCAGGAGGAAGAAGGGAATTGGGAAAGCTGTTCTTAAAAGAAGAAGCATCATGTGCAAAGGCCCAAGGACAAATGAAAATGTCTATTTAATTTAACATGTCCGAGAAGTGATTCTTAAGCTTTAATGAGTATATGAGTCACCTGAGTTTAATGTGAAAATGCAGATTCTGATTCGGGGACCTGAGTTCCTGGAGGGCTAACACGCTGCCAATTAATATCAGTGCAGCCAGTTCTTGGACCAAACTTTTGAGTTGCAACATAGAACTTAACAAGCACTGGACACTTCTCTCTGGGGAAATAGCTGAATATTCCTGAAGCCATTTGTACTGCTGATGGTGACCTACTTATTCACATTGCATGAATCATTAATGACTGAAACGTAGTGGCAGCTCAGCGCCTTACTCCCACATGACATTTTCTAGAAGGGAGCATGCTTCTCCTCCCACAATATTTTTAAAGTCACTACTTCAAGTTCTGTTTTTGTACCTTCTTTTTCACCTTCATCTACTTCCTCATTGAAATTCGTTTAGCAGTTTCTGCATGAAACCAATCTGAAAGGGTGTGCTTAATAAATATTGTCAACACTTGTCAAAATCAAAGGAAAATGTCCCAGGGAAGAACTCGGAGTCATTATCATTAGGAGCAAGTTATGAGGCTATACTGTGTCTTCACAGTAGTTCTTTCAATGTCAATCTGAACTCATTTTAATGAAGGCACGAGTTTCACATCGCTGCCATCTCTGCCTCATCCTACTGCAGCCAATTCCATCTTCATCCTAAAGGCATGGGAACAGATTGGGCTGTGTTGTCAAGTCACCTACCGGATATTCACACCCATGTCACATGGTTTAAAAGATAAGCTTCTCTACATATAGTTTTGAATATTAGGCATCATTGAATTGAGTTATAATGTGTTTCTGGGGACTGGAAGATGCATTCATTTTGAATATTGGTACAGTGGAGCTGCATCACATTTGTCAATTAAAGCACCGATTAGGCTTTAAGTACTGAAAGAGCAAACACACTTTAGGACCTTAGAATGGTGCTAGGCAGCATGCGACTATACTGCTTCATTTAATTTTTATAACAATAAACAAATACCTATATATATACATATACACTTTAAAAATTATTTTATAATGCTACACAGGCTTAACATTAGAACCAACAGAGTGAGCCTTGCAGGCGAACAACACTTTCAAATTTCCTTCCTCACCTTCCTTTCCATCTAGGATCTCGTCATCATCTACAGGCAGAAGGGCTTTCATACCGAGATATAAATGGGTAGACTTGTTTTTTCTTCCTTTCCCTAGACCAGCTCGGCATTTCTTAAACTTTTTTATGTCTATCAATTACTACAGCACCTTATCTACTTGCAGTCACATACAGTGTGCTTTATGGGAAAACAAAGAATTTCCATGGGTGATCTTTCCCTTTTCCCTCTGTTCCCATTACCCCCTGATTTTGGACGTACCCAACTCAGCCCTAGTGAAGTGTGATCACCTTTTAGAGCGGTCAGAGATGGTTGAAGCTCTGTTTCTCTTCTGTTTTATGTCAGGTCTGTCTCAGCCTTACTTCTCAGTCTACTTACTGCCCACTCCCAGGATTGCTAACCCTCTAAAGAGACACGAGAGATGTTCTGACGATGGCCATAAGTCCTGGTGTGGTCTGGGCGCAAGTTCTTAGCTCATCGGAGCTGCCTAGGGACACAGTAGCAATAGGACATGCATCTGTGTGGACTTTTCAGCTCACCTTCCTCAATTCATGCATACAGGGACTTGATTGGTTCCCAGAAGAAATAGTATATGATTTTCTTGACTCTCGAACTAAGTTACTGCAGACTGAAGTTTGCTTGGTCCATGGTCTTATCTTTTATATGTAAATGGTTTGGAACCTCTTGATAATAACCTGTTTGGTGTTTGGGTAAAAGCCAAACCATCTTATGGTCAAGAAAGCATTCAGAGGGTCATCTGCTGTCACGTTCGAGTTACAATCACACTTAAATGGCAGCTTAAAAGTTATAGGCCCACATTATGGGGAAACTAAAAATAGGGCTGGAAACTCAGGCCCTCCATGATATTTTGCAAGTGACTTTTAGAGCTAGGACGTACCACAGACTTGATTCCAAAACACTTGATTTATAAATGAAGAGACAGCACCAGAAAAGCTAGGCAGCATAGTTCCAATCTTCTTCCCTTCCTTCCTTCCTTCCTTCCTTCCTTCCTTCCTTCCTTCCTTCCTTCCTTCTTCCCACTACCTTTTCTCAGTTAAGCAAAGATAATATGAGTGCTATCCTTTCATTTAAACTAGACTCACGTTAGTTCTCAATGTGACAATTACTCAGAAAATATATATAAAAATGTAAAACAAAACAGATTTTACTTGAATTGTTCTATGAAGTGTTTACCTGAATTTATGATCTGTTGCAGAAAACCAGCAGTAGTCATTAAAAAATAATAATTAACCATGGCAATACTAACAGACTATATTCATGCAGTGTGACTTATGGCTATTTACTAATTTAGAACTTAATGAAAATTTACTAATTTAGAACTTAAAACGTGAGGGTTATATATTAGAAATACATTGCTCACTTACCCTATCTATTTGGTGCTTCTTTTAAGAGAAAAATTCTATATATTAGGTTGATAATTATATAAGGAATCATTAAATTGTATTTTTAAAAATGTATTTTAATTAATTGCATATGTTGTATGAGGTCAATGAACAAAAAATGTGTAGACTTGAGATAACAATACATTTTTAAATTCCAAATTATATTTTCAGAAGAGAAATACTTAGAAATCTTTAAGATTCAGTAGGCTTTTTGTATTCAAATTGGTCTCAATTTAAAATCTTCAGCCATATCATGAACAGTAGGTTTCATAATAATTTAAATTTCTATCACATTTTGAGGATGTAGAAATAATTTAAAATTTTTTAAAATACTTATACAGCCCACCAAGATTGAACAGAGATAGGAGAAAGGAATATAAAGTCTAGAATTTTGAAGGCAGAGAAGTTAAGATACTGCCTCCAGCCACAGAGATGATAAAGAGATGACCAGATTACATAAAGATGATTTCTTTTACGTTTATATGTCAAATATATTTTAATATAAAAAAAGAGAGATGATCGTTTTCAAAAGCCCAGATTCTTTTCATGATATCATCCTACCTCCTGATTAAAATTATATTTTTCCTTCATTTTGTTATTTTGACGGAGCAGAATTAACGTGGCATGGGAAGACGTTATTAGGGTTTTAAAACTTCTTGCTTAAGAAAAGACGTTAACAGAGCTGGAAGTCAGGCAGATGTATCGCATCCATCCAAACAGCAGGTCGTAGTTTTACATTCACGGTGGAATAGCTCATAGCAATTCCATCAATGACAAAAGTGACACCAACTCGGAAATGTCAATGTCAGCAGGTGGAATTGCAGCGTCCAACGCAATCTGAAAAGTTGATTTTTGATCAACTTTATCGTGTGTCTTCCCTTCTGAATATGGAGATGACTCACTGGAATGTGTTCTCTTTTGTGTTTTGGGGCACAAACAGCATCGCGGAGTCACCACTGATGTGTGAGGTTTCGACCCCGGAGCAGGGCGGCGCCAGCGGCAGCTCCGGAAGCAGCCTGGGGAGCTCCGTCACCGCCTGTAAGAAGGTAACCTGGCCTAACACCACCCTCTTCTCGCCAGTTGAACTTGAACGCTAGTTTAGTCTGACTTTTCGAGCACTTTTTCTAAAGCAGAGACGACAAAAACAATCAACAGAATAGTCCACAATTTGCTTGCCCGGATAACCCCTGGAGACATTTAAAAATGTAATTCATGGAAATGATAAGAAAACTCGAGCAGTTCAGAAGGTATGGCTTGAGAACTCTAAGCTTTCGGGGCCACAGTACCTCAACTGCAACCTCTTCCCAAACTCAGATCTCCATTCAGAAAAGTCTTCACAGGTTTTGAATGGCTCACTTTGTTATTTTAAGGCTGTAAGTCTGTATATAAGAAATATTCATGACAGTTCTCTGATATTTTCTTAAAGAGGAGGATATGCTTGGCTTATTTATTAGAAGAAATCACATTTCCTAGAATATAGACTTTAGAACTGATACACAAATCTTGCTTTCCTACATTTGCAGAAAGTTGTCCTTTGAACAAAAAAATCGTCTAATTTAACGACCTTTTTTCCAGCCAATTTAACTTATAGCCCAGAAACCTAAAGCCAAATGCCCAATTTTCCACTTAATGCTTTTGTCACTATTTGAGGTTGAATTCCAGAGGAGAACGTGTTTCTTCTCACCCAAAGTTAGAGGAAACCACAATGAATCATTTAATTTATTATTTTTTAAAAGTTAAATTATAAAAAAATACTTAAATGACCTTTTTTCCAGCCAATTTAACTTATGGCTCAGAAACCTAAAGTCAAATGCCCAATTTTCCACTTAATGCTTTTGTCACTATTTGAGTTTGAATTCCAGAGGAGAACGTGTTTCTTCTCACCCAAAGTTAGAGGAAACCACAATGAATCATTTAATTTATTATTTTTTAAAAGTTAAATTATAAAAAAATACTTAAAGATATAAATTAAGACAAATTCTGTTACTAAACATATTATATATGTATATATAATGTATATTTACAAAATATAAATCATATATGCATATATATCTATTTACTGGTTACTGTACCCAGTCAAGCAGCCTTATCTCTTTCCACAATTATTTCTATAATAACTATTAGTCAGTCCAACTATATGATATTGTCTCTTTCACAGATTAAAACTAATAAAATATTTGGCAATTTCCTAAGGTTCAACCTGAATACAGTCAACATTCTGTAAGATCTTGGGGAGAGATATAAGGATAGGTCATAAATGGCTCCCACTCTTAAAAAATGTACAGTGTAGTTTAGGAGATAATACTGGTTTCTCATGTGAAAACTCAAACAATAATTCAAAAGTCAAAACATACTTATGTAAGATAACTATAGAAGAATAAGTAAACAGTGTAAATTACGTGAAGAACTAGTATAATAGACATTAGAAGCTAAGAACAAAGTCAGACTCTGGATCCTCAATGGACAATAACTTTCAGCAAGGAAGTTTCAGCAAAGATCCTAATTTGGACTGTGGAGTATGATTAAGATCTGAATGAATGAAGAGAATATCCAACCACGTTTAGGAAGGGCTGCTACAAAGGAATGCAAGAGAAGTCAACTCCTTCGTGTACGAGCAATGTTTTTCTCATTTCATAGTTCATTTCTTTCATTTCAAATATTCTCTTAAGCTTACATAATGATTACATTTAAAGACCGTTTAGTAGCCATACATGCCACTCATCATGCATGTGTAGGCTCTAATAATTTTTCTTTCCTTCAAAAGAGTAGCTCACCAACATTTTTTTTTTTTTTTTTTTTTGTATCTAGAACATTGGCCCTCAATAAAAAGACATCGACTATGGAATGATTTAATGTCTTTATTTAATTTCTCCAAGCTGATCTAAATGGTCATCGATCAAATTTTTAAAATCTTGTTAATCACAGATAATGAGACTGGGGAAATGAGAATCTATATGTTTATAAGTGCGCATATAATGCATATTCTGTAAAAAAAGAGGCAAAAGGAACAAGGACAGCTGTATCTTAGAAATAGCAAGACTGTTCCGATGAGTATCTCTCTTCATAGTCAATCAACCTTCAATAAGAGTAACATGGGTAATTGAAATCTATTGATAATTCCCAAACTCATTTCTTGTAATAGGTTCATCTTCTTCCCCATCAAACCTTCTTATCAGAACTGACATATTGCTAAATTAACTCATGGAAAAAATAAAACAGATCCAGAAGATAATGCATTAGTTGGATAATCAGCCTCTGAAAAATTGCAAATTGACTGAATTTTTCCCACGTGCTCCATAGTGAATCGCTAAGGCTTTCGGGAATCTTATCCAGATGCAATTTCTTCAGTTTTTCTTTGCTCTTGGGGAAATATGGTCACTGAAATTCATAGATGTGAAAAAGCCTTAGCATCAGGAAAAAGACTTTGGTGGACTTAATTGAAAGAGGAACTCCTTAATATATATTTTTGTCAGCAAGGGACTGCCTTTCCCCAAAAGCTAAGATGACCACACCACCCAGTCACGGTTTACATATATTGTCATGATCTTTTGTTAATAGACTCCCATTTGCTCTCAAAAGTGCTCTGATATACACAATAAGTTATATGGTTATCCCAGCTCTAGCATCAGAATTGTCCTTTTGCTCCGTTCTCTCCCTTTTTTTATTAGGAAAGTTCTCAGATAAAGTCACACTGAGGCTTTAGTCATTACAGAGCTTACTGAAGTTGTGACAAATATGTTTTTATTTAACTAGTGCTGCTGAAGAGCTTGTACTGTTACCCTTCCTTAACTGACATTGATGATTAAACCTACTGAACCTGAACATGACTTCAGAATTCCACTCACCATGAAGCCCCAAGCAGGCACTGTCAGCCCATCGGAGTTGGAATATAGGCAACCTCTGTGTCACTCTAATTTAATGAGCACCAAACCCCGGAGACGTTTTTGTGTATGCAACATGATTCTCCAAAATAATGCATTTAAAATAATAGAATTTCAAAATATTACAGGAAAACTGGAAAAGAAAGAGGTGGAGAGTAGATGCTAGAGCCTTCCATGGTATTCCTTGAAGTGTATCTCACACAGACATCCCTGAGTTCCTTCCTTTTCTTAAGACAGGTACTTCTTACAAATAAATATAGCCACCATTATTAAGTTGAATCATAGGGATTTTCCATTAAGTGAACTAACCGATTATGTGTGTGTGTGTGTGTGTGTGTGTGTGTATATATATATATGTTATCCTTTGTAGCTATCAAACTCTAAGTGAAAGGTCTTTAAATTCTCTTAAATTCTCTTTAAATTCTCTTAAAAATAAACAAAAATCTGGTTTCTCCAGGGAGGCAGTGGGATGTCATATATCAAACCTGGACTTGGGATCCGAAGGCCTGACTGAGTTAGGTCTTTGGTTTCTCTTTATGTGTGATCTTAGGCTAGTGATGCCATTTCTCTGATTCAGATGTCTTAGGGTTGGTGTGGTGTTTACTACAAAAAGGTTTGTGTAAGCCCTTGGCACACATAATTGATGCTCAGAAATTTTAGTTGATTCCAAATAAATAATCTTGACACAGAGTGTACTTTATTTAGATAGAATTTTAAAACCCATCCAAACATAGCACTCAACGCATACTTATTGTTGACTATCTGCTAGATTTTCCTCTGCTTTGCAAGCATTTTAGTCAATGTCACATCTTCACAATAGCCGGACATTTTTAATCCATGCTTTACTTCGTGGTCTGAAGATTTGCTATTTGGGATATAATGGAACCAAGACTCTGAAAAGGATTTATGTAAGGAAAGAATTCTTGGAGAAAAATCAACACCCCAAATATCCTCTTTTTGTGTCATGTTATTGAAATCCACCTTAAACCTGAACTTATCAAAGGCAGCAGACTGAAAACATTTCAGGCTTTCAGAGGCAGAGTTTGATCTTAATATGACATCTGATCAACTCTTTGAAGTTTTAAGAGCATTCTTTGCCATGATATCCCTCCTTTAAACTGACTTAAATACTGTCGACAGTGGCACAGATATATCTGAAGAATGACAGAATAGATGTCCCTTGATGCTTCATCTTATTCTGTAAAATATGCTGTATCTAAGTCCATATCTTTTTGATGACATGTAATTAACAAAAGCAATTTAATTAGGTTGCAGTCATGGGCATACAAATTGGGAGGCTATTTCACAATCTGATCCATTTCTGTAAAGACATTTTTATTAGAATTATATGGCTCTTGGCCAAAAGCCTCAACTTTCAGGAAGCACATGATGAAAAATAGCTATAATAGTCTGTATTTTTAGAAGCTGTTTTCTTAAATAAAGGAAGGAACTTAAAAAAAAAAAAAGTCAATAAATAAAACTTAAAACAAAATCAACATAATTGAGTATATTCACCTTTTTATAGAATGAAGACACTAGGCTTTTTCTTCTGGGGTATAAACCACCCACCTCTGTAAACGCTCTCATCTGATCGAGCGGCCTGACATCGCTTTTTAGGCACAGATTCTTATACCAGAGAATGGCCTATCCAAATTTTTTCGAATGGCTGAATGTCCCGTTTTATTGCCATTCTGTAGGAGTAGTCAGAAGCATTGAAGAAATGGAGATTTTTGAGAAAAGAAATGGAGAACTGTTTTACTGAAAGCAGCATTTGATGAAAGCTAATGCAGTAGATCTAAAGAGAATTCCTTAGAGCAAAGGGAGACTAGGATCAGGGATCCGTAGAGAGGCGTGCTTGGTATGGATGGGGAAGCGGGTGAGAGCTGTATACAGACGATGGAAAAAGGGAAAAACAAACTCTGCTGAGAGGCACGTGGAAGCGAAGGTCAGCAGGACTCTGTGGCAGTGAGAGTTAAGCAGAACCATGGCCTCTGACTATTTAAGTGAAGCCATCCGTGAGCGGGTACCACCGAGGTCACTGGGAAGAGAGTCTGGGAGACCAGCTAGGCAAAGAAGTCCATGGATTCAGATTCAGCACAGCTGCATCTAAGAGCCAGCCACAAAATTCACTTGGAGGCAGTTTCACTGACCGCTTAAGGACACTT